CTCCTCCTCCTCCTCCTCCTCCTCCTCCTCCTCCTCTCATCTTCTTCTTCTCTCGTCCTCCTCATTTCGTCTTCTTGTCTTCTCCCTTCCTCCTCCTCCTCCTCTCGTCTTCTTCTTCTCCTCTCCTCCTCTTCCTCTTCCTCCTCATCATTTTGTCTTCTCCTCTCCTCCTCCTCCTCCTACTCTCGTCGTCTTCTTTTTCTCTCCTCCTCCTCCTCTCGTCTTCTTCTTCTTCTCTCGTCGTCCTCCTCATTTCGTCTTCTTCTCTTCTCTCTTCCTCCTCCTCCTTCTCTCGTCTTCTTCTTTTCCTTTCCTCCTCTTCCTCCTCATTTTGTCTTATTCTCCTCTCCTCCTCCTCCTCCTCCTACTACTACTACTACTACTACTCCTCTCGCCACCTTCTTTTTCTCTCCTCCTCCTCCTCTCGTCTTCTTCTTCTTCACTTCTCTTCCTCATCCTCCTCATTTCGTCTTCTTCTTTTCTCTCCTCCTCCTCCTCCTCTCGTCTTCTTCTTCTTCTCTCCTCCTTATTTCGTCCTCTTCTTTTCTCTCTTCCTCCTCCTCCTCCTCTCGTCTTCTTCTCTCCTCCTCCTCCTCCTCTCGGCTTCTTCTTCTTCTCTCCTCCTCCTCATTTCGTCTTCTTGTTTTCCCTCCTCCTCCTCCTCCATTGGCCTTTTTTTTTCCCCCTCATCATCGCCAGACAATCGGCAGCTCCTCCTCCTCCTCCTCCTCCTCCTCCTCCTCCTCCTCCTCTCGCCTTCTTCTTCTCCTCCTTGTCCTCCTCCTCCTCCTTATTTCGTCCTCTTCTTTTCTCTCTTCCTCCTCCTCCTCTCGTCTTCTTCTCTCCTCCTCCTCCTCCTCTCGGCTTCTTCTTCTTCTCTCCTCCTCCTCCTCATTTCGTCTTCTTGTTTTCCCTCCTCCTCCTCCATCGGCCTTTTTTTTTCCCCCCTCATCATCGCCAGACATTCGGCAGCTCCTCCTCCTCCTCCTCCTCCTCCTCCTCTCGCCTTCTTCTTCTCCTCCTCCTTGTCCTCCTCCTCTTCCTCATTTCGTCTTCCTCTCTTCTCTTCTGTCCTCCTCCCCCTCCTCCTCCTCTCGTCTTCTTCTTTTCTCTCCTCCTCCTCCTCCTCCAGCGGCCTTTTTTTTTTCTTTTCTTGTCATCCCCATACAGAACTGGCGGCTCCTCCTCCTCCTCCTCCCCATCCTCCTCCTCCTCCTCCTCCTCCTACTCGTCATTTTTTTTTAAGTCTGCTTCTTCTTTCTTCTCCTCCTTTTCTCCTCCTTCCTCCCCTCCTCCTCCTCCTCCTCTCGTTTTCTTCTTGCTCCTCCGCCTCCTCCTCCTCCTCCTCCACCATATCCTACCGCCTGCCATCTAGCACGTCGGCCATCCATATTGTACGGTCAGCCATCTCCCACGGTCCACCATCTCCTACTGCCCGCCATCTCCCATTCCTCTTTTTTTTTTCTGCCCGAACAACAGAAGGGAAGCGGGCAGACTGCAGTTCTTCTTCTTCTTCTTCTCTCCTCCTCCTCTTCCTCCTCTCCTCTTCTTCTTCTCTCTCCTCCTCCTCCACCTACTTTCGTCTTCTCCTTCTCTCCTCCTCCTCCTCGCCCTCCTTCATCGTCCTCTTATTATTATTTTCTTTTTCCCTCATCCCCATACACTACCGGCAGGTCCTCCTCCTCCCCTAACCCCTCCTCTCAGTGGACTGACAGCTGCAACACACCCTTACCCCCTTGTCAACCCCCCCCTCCCCTC